CGACTACCTTTCCGTGCTCTCTTCGCACTTGCCGGGCAAGGCTGGAAGAAGTGCCGCGGCAGTCAGACCATGACATGGGCTAGAGGTATGAAGAAGTTGGCTTAGGTTGGTGCAGCCCACCTTCCAGGTTGAGGCCCAAATGATGAGGATTGTCGTTGGTGAGACGCTGAGAGATATGACCCAGAATAGAAGCCAGTGGCGCGAATGCTGTACGGCCTGTCTATCGAAATCCTGTACCCCGTAATAACAACAAATAACTCACTAAAAATATCAAAAAGTGTACGGTGAAACGCACAAAATATTTCGTTATCCCAGTTATCTTCCACTTTCCCGTATTGGGCACACAATCTGCCTCAGACATGTATGAATATATGTGTATATCTATTCCGGAAGGCCATTATAGTTAACTAGAATGTGACAGAGGTAACGACATCACTTAGTAGCGGATCGCGATCGCGTCAGTGTAGTTTATAGACATGAGTGACATTTATATGCAAGAACGGTAGTCAGGCGAAAATCGACAGTAAATACAAAGTCCGGTAGGCGAAACAAGCTGTTCTTCGATGAATTCATCAACGGGCCATTACAATTATGTACGGTAATTCTGTTTCATCGATCTGGTTTTGATCGCATCAGACTAAGTACAGAATGTATGCTAAGATCGTTTACCTGATGTTCATCTCGATTAGTTCGTTGGTGCGTGGATTTTTCAATTCGAGGTTACAGCAAGGCCCGAACTAACTGCTTTTGGTTGTACGGGGGAGGGGGGAACCAATGTTTGGATAGCTATCGCCTCGACTGTGCATAAAATGATAAATCGAAGGCGTTTCGTCAGAGATGATGGCTTGTGGTAAATCGTGCGGAATGCCTGATCAACATTGATAGTGTCCCCAGTACATGTTCACGGATAGCACTTTTCACCGTCCTAGTTTCACCGTGTCTCAACTAGCGGGGGTGGTGTTCTCGCACCCTCTTCGATAGCTGCCTTGTAGTCTGGCCGATATAGCTTGCTCCACAGGAGCAAGTGAACGCGCAGAGGCACATGGGTGCAGTTTGGGGAGGAGGGAGGGGACAGCTTATCTTTGAGGTGGAAACGTATTGCTGAGGACGTAGTGAAATCTACGCGTAGTTCAGGCGTTGTAAACGTTTCACGTAACGTTCGAGTGATCCATCGTGTAAGCCACTCGCCTTTGAATGTTAGTGTGGTGGAGTGGTAGAGTGGTTTCTTGTTGACTGTGTGCACAACCGGTCGCGCGGGTATTCCGTTAGATGTTTATCTATGAAATTATCCGGATAACCGTTCCCTCGAAGGGAGTTTTTGATGTGTTCAAGTTCTTCGGTTACGGCACTGGGAGAGTAAATTTTCCAAGCTAAGAGCTAGGCATCTCACCAAATTTCTCTTTTGTTTCAATGACACAAAGCTATTGAAATTCACATATTGTCCCGTCCATGTACGTTTCCTGTGTACTCTTCTCTGGATAGTTTCATCTGGGTTTCGGATAAGTAAAACATCCAAAAAAGGGATTCGATCGTTGTACTCATTTTCGATAGTAAATTTGATAGAGTTGTGGCTTGCGTTCAAAGCCTCTAGCACAGACTCAGTGTTGGTTGTTTGATTTGTTGAGGAAAATATGTATCGGCCCGTTGATGAGAATCAGTACCTGAAGTTCACCATCAGGCTGCCTGAAGGAAACGAAACAGCTGAATTCATTGAAGAATGCATTCAATCAAATACCTATCGGAAGGAATATTGGAAAGTTTTACGCTAGCATCATACTGAACTAAACAATCACTCATTGAAACATCACAGCCTAAATCGACTAGACACCTATAAACGTGAGTTATATTCATATGCATAAGCGGTAGCCAGGAGAAAATCGACAGCGCCATCAAGCACTGAATCGTTGCGGACCACTTCTTTAAAGAGTTTAGAGCCAGCTTATTCATGGTTCTCCAAGACAAGAGTTGCGGATATCCGGTGATCTGCTTTGGGATACGCCCCTTAGCATGTATCATTGGTCCACCAAAAACTGCAATCCTTACACGTACCCTTTGGAGAAATACCCTATCACGACGAGACTGTACCTTGACGTGGTGTGATGGCTTGTGCCCCTCTGTGACCCAACGAGCTACACACGATGGCTTTTGTCGAGCCGAAGATCTAATTATGCCTCAAAGAAAAATGACATGGCT